ACTGACTGTACTTTTGAAGTATGCATTTCTCGATGGGTCTGTCGGCACACCAATGAAACAAAGCGGTCGAATCGTAATCACATCTTATCGGTGAACGTCTTTCATCTGTTTGTCTCAAACCATCGCAAGAAGATGTAGAAGAAGTACTACTAGTGCTCGAACTCCGAGACTTTGTTCCCTTTCTTTGACATAAAAACAGAGAAATAAATGAACAATAAATCAAATTTTTCAATACATTTAAAAGCTTTAACTCTTGGCGAGAAGAAAATTGTTCATGATATTTGTTATGATAAACTGCTTAATACAAGTTCTTTACAGAATTACAAAACTATGTTTTACGAAATTTAATCTATTGTAACACTTATTACTTCTTATCTTTTTTAGATCGAGTTTTGTCTTTAGTTTTCGCTCTGTTTGGCGAACATGTCTTTAAATTATCTCCAATTCCGTGAGTTTTTTCAATACCAACTGACGATATATTAAGTAAATTGACTGAAAAACAAAATTCATATCTCAAGTATTTTTAATTAAATGTCACGAAAAACAATGAATTATTCACTCACTTTCCTCTGCGTTATCAATGGTATCGAAACCTATAGAATATTTACAATTTAACGACAAAAACAAATCTTTAATAATTCATTGAATTAGAAATACAACTCAATTCAACGCTAACCCGATTCCTGAACGTATCGTCTCTTTACTTTGTCCTCAACTAAAAGATATTTTAAAACTTTGTTTAACATTAACTCAATTGAAAACTTAAGTAACAAATCACAAACCCTTAAGACATTGGCATTTCTTGATTAGTTTAGTGTCTGTTATATCGTTATGACAACTAAAACAGTATAGAAGAGCGCTGTTTATCACAAAATAGATTGTAATTAAATTATTTTTATTCAAATAGATTACTGTCTATTATAATAGCAGACCATTTGACTAAATCCTTATCCTCTGCTATAAAGAAAGCCTTTGTGTTTCCGCGGATCAGATAATCAGGTTTTGGATTTATTATAATGTCGTCATCGCATTCAATGGCAAACAATATTGATTTAAATTTAGTGAAACACAACTCAAATATATGCGAAAATGTCATTTCAGCGAAAGCCGGGCTAAGAGTTTGGCTAAATATTTGCATTTTTGTTGCCTTCAAATAGTCTTTATTCACTTCAGTGTTATATTTACACTAAATTTAATACAAAGAATATACGAGTAAAACAATAGTTAATGAATAAATAATCAGTTAATTTAATAACAGAAAAGTAACAGTAAAACCACATCATCAGTGAAATGGTGTGTTTAATAAAGTTAATAATGATTGTAACAAATAAATTAAATTAAAAACTAGTTTAGTTTACCTGTTTGTATGTTTTTAAACTAATTAAATTAGCTAATAATGTGCTCATTCCCGGTGCTAAACACGACTGACCGATCACTCTATGACTTATTTCACTCACGCAAAATACTTTGTCGCCTAAAAACAATAAAATGAATGCCCTTTTAATGTAATTTAATTGTTAATTTTATATTTAACAAAGTTTGCGATACCATTACATGGACTCCAATTGGGAATTTGGCTTAAATAATATTTATTTTGTGATCGCATTAATTGTACGATAATCTGAAAGTAAATACTTCTTTATTATTAAATTAAATCTAAAAATAATGACAAAAATATGGCTTAAATTGTGTGGTAATACCCATTGTATACATAATGGCATACATGAGAAGTGGTCTTAACCTGTATTTGTTTGCAGTAATTCTTGATAGACATGACAGACATTATATTGGATGCA